ACTGATGTACCACCAACACATGCATGACATAATACCTGTAAATAATCTCCTAATGCTAATGCCACCTGCATATCAACCACAAAAACACAAAAAAAACATATATATACATATATATATATGAATAGTAACTGCAACAAATATATACATGTATATATATATATATATAACTATAGAGAATAAATATATATATGATATAACCATTCAAAATAAAGGAAATAAAAAGATAATGAATAAAAAAAAAAGGGTTGAATAAATAAATAAATAAATAAATAAATAAATAAATAAATAAATACCTTTTGAATTTGTTGTGCAAGTTCTCTAGTAGGTGCAAGTATAAGAACTTGACATTGATTTTTTTGATAATTAATTTTTTGTAATGCAGCAATAACAAATGTAGCTGTTTTTCCTGTACCACTTTGTGCTTGTCCAATAGTATCATGTCCATCAATAATAGGTTTAATTCCTCTCATTTGTATTGCTGATGGTTTCTCGAAACCGTATGAATATATTCCTCTTAATAATTTCTCGTCGAGTGGTAAATTATCGAATGACGTAATTACTTCGTCCTCATACTCTCCTCCATCTCCTCCAACTCCTCCTCCTGCTGCTCCTCCTGGTGCTGAGGAGGAGGAGGAGGAGGAGGAGGAACTTGATGTTGAAGAATCCTGTTGATGCTGGGTAAGAGTTGTCTTAGACTCCTGCTGCTGATCCTGCTGCTGCTGCTGCTGCTGCTGCTGCTGCTGCTGCTGTTTTGATTCGGTCTCCATCATTATGCTGATAAGATGATAAGATTAAGATATTCGTAATAATAAGAAAGAGAGGAAGTGTACTATGAATATTTATATTATGTATTTTGTTGCTCTTTGTTGCTGCTGTTGCTGCTGCTGCTGCTGTTGCTGCTGCTGATGCTGCTGATGATGATGCTGCTGTTGCTGCTGTTGATGTAAGTGTTGATCGTGTTGATGATGTTAATGTATTAAATTATACAACAAGAGCCAAATAATAGCAAACAACACAAAGAGACAAACAAAACCACCAAAAATATACCCGTGGGGATATTTAGATTGATGGTGTTGATGTATATTATTTTGCTGCTGCTGCTGCTGTTGCTGCTGCTGCTGCTGCTGCTACTCCTACTTTATTTATTATGTAAAACAGGAAATATATACATATATATACTCCTTTCTCCTTTTCTGCTGCTGATGCAGCCACGGTAGCTTAATCTGCTGCTGCTGCCTGTGTGGGCTGTGTGATGTTGCTGCAGGATGTGGGCTGTTCCTGCTGCTGTTGTGGGCTGCTGCTGCTGCTGTGGCTGCTGCTGCTGCTGTTGCTGCTGTTGCTGCTGCTGCTGCTGCTGCTGCTGCTGCTGCTGCTGCTGTTAATATTGCTCGTACTTTTTCAACTTTTTATCCCTATTTTTTCTTTATAATTTTCTTTATTATTATTTTATTTATTTTATTTATTTATTTATTTATTTATTCTTATTTATTTATTTATTTATTTATTATATCTATACATGCAACAAGCAGCTGCAACACCCCACCCTTGGTGTGTTGTTGCTGCGACACATCATCCCATCCCCACACCTGCTGCTGCTGCTGCTGCTGCTGCTGCTGCTGCTGCTGCTGTTCCTGCAGCAACAGCAGCAGCCCCACCCTTCTGCATCCACTACGACTACCATATTATTGGGGTGTATATACATCTATAGACATCTAATTATTATTTATTTACTCATTATAAATATGTATAGTATATTAGTATATATGCTGCTGCTGCTGTTGCTCCTGTTGCTCCTGTTGCTGCTCCTGTTGCTGCTGTTGCTGCACACACCCCCACACCGCTGTCTCGGTTTTTGGTGTTGTTGCTGCTGTTGCTGCTGCTGCTGCTGCTGCTGCTGCTGCTGCTGCTGCTGCTGCATTTACTAGTCTTTTTCTAGTTTGCTCCAACTAATTCTATTGCTGTATTTGCTGCTGCTGCTGCTGCTGCGTATATAAGTATACTGTATACATTCCCCACAGCATATAACATAATTGCTGCTGCACGCCTTCCTGCTGCAGCAGCAGCTGCTGTTGCTTTTTGCTGCTTTTGCTGCTATTCTTGCTGCTTTTGCTGCTGCTGCTACCTATGTGGGGTTTATACGATATACAGATACGGCTATAGATACTACATACTGCTGCTGTTGCTGCTGTTGCTGCTGCTGCTGCAGTGCTGCTGTTGTTGCTGCAGCAGAAGATGTAGCAGCAAACTACTACTAATAGCAGCAACAGCAGCAGCAGCTGCTGCTGTTGTTTCTTTATTTATTTACTTATTATTAATGAAGATCTATTAGTAGGCTGTATATATATAATAAATAAATAAATAAATAAATAAATAAATAAATAAATAAATAAATAAATAAATAAATATAATTATTTATGTGCCTATTTAATTAATATAATTATATTAAATAAATAGATATATGTATATTTAAATATAACTATAATATATATATATATATATA